ATCAGGTAGATGTTCGATCAATGTGTCCTGTTCCAGCTCATCGACCGTTGATTTTGTGGCGTCAGAATCATCAGGGACTATAAAAGATATGGGAACCCTGTAATCATCATCTTCATCAGTCCATTTTTTATCCGATTGGGTCGTGGCCAGTGTTGACAATTGCTATTTATTCGCTTGCTTTGTATCCGAACTTGGTTCCTTTGATGTTGCCAGTGTTGATATCTGAATCACTTCTTCGACTGCAAACATTTCCTTTGCGGCTGGTTGTTCCTCGTAGATTATTTTAATCCCTCCTGGCATTGGGAATCTTAACACTTGGTGTAGAGTCGAGAGCACTGCCCTAATGTTGTGGATCCATGGCCTCCTGAACAGGGCATTGTACCTCATGTCTCCTTCTGTCCCATAAAACTTGGTTTCATGGATGGTCCTGGCGGCATTCACTAGTAATATTATCGCTCCCTTAGTAGTTTTATATACCATGTTGAATCCATTTAGAACTCGGACCGCAGACACAATTTGATCTTGTAGGCCGAGCTGTTCTACGACCCTCGATCTGATGATGTTGGACGAGCTACCTGGATAATTAACACACGATTAACTCGAGATTTATTTATAAGTACAGACATTACCAATGCATATGGGGTTACACGATCCCTTCTGCGTCCTTGTCGTTGAAAGAAAAAGTTCCTTCTAGTATGTATTCTCGAGTCTATTTTTCCCTTGTGATGGATACTTTGGTGTGCTTCAACATCGGCCCTTGAGGAACATTGACCCCACCGATGATGATGTTAATGACGTGTTGAGCTTCTTCTTGTTTGGTCTGTTTATTAGAATCCTTATTTCTGAAATGATTCTTGGCTCTATAGCTCAGGAATTCTCGAAGATGACTGTTGTTGAATAACCGGGCTACCTCCTCCCTCAACTGTTGGCAATCCTCTGTTCTATGGCCGTGAGTGCCATAGTATTTGCACATCTAGTTTTGATCCCTTTGGGCTGGGTCGAATTGTAGAGGTCGAAGCCATTTGGTGTCTTTGATGCATCCGATAGCTAATACGATGGCAACAACATCAACATTAAAGTTATATTCTGATAACCTTGGTGCTTCTTTAGGTCCGACAGGCTTTTCAAAACCGTTCTTCCTCATGAGTCCCCGGTTGCTCTGGCCTCGGTCATTTTTCCTTTCATTTTGCATAGAACTCCATCCGGACCCACTGCTTCTTCGATCCCCATTGTATGGCTGGTGTCGATTCCTGTTCAACCTTTGTTTACGGTTGATATTTCTATTAACTCCGTCGATGGGTCTAATAGGATAAATGGACCCAGAATGAGCCCTTAGTTGATAATATTCGACTCTAATTTTCGATTGATATCGGCTATGCACATCAGCCTAAGTAACATCCGGTTACTCTATCAGATTATGCTTCAACTATTGTGAAGCCACCGAACATCGAACATCAAGTCCTTGGGTGAAAGCTTGAACGGCCCAATCGTCACCGACCGGTGGCAAGTCCATCCATTCATTTGAAACTGGGACACAAACTCTCTAAGTATCTCATTATCCTTTTGTATTACTTTGAAGAGGTCCGACTTCCTGGTCTCGACCCTGATAGCCCCAGCGTGTGCTTTCACGAAAGAGTCTGCAAGAATATCAAATGAGTCAATTGAATTACGAGGTAAGTTGTGATACCATATCATAGCTCCCTTTGACAGGGTCACTCCGAATTTCTTCAGCAAGACATACTCAATCTCATCATCCTCCAAGTCATTTCCTTTGATGGCGCATATGTAGGATGTGACATGCTCGTTTGGGTCAGTTGTTCCGTTGTACTTAGGAATCTAGGGCATGTGGAATTTTTTAGGGATCGGCTCTGGAGCTGCACTCGGAGGGAAAGGTTTTTGTACGAACTTCTTAGAATCCAAGCCTTTCAGTATCGGCGACGCTCCCGGGATCTGGTCGACCCTGGAATTGTAGGTTTCCACCTTTTTGTCGTTTGCTTAAATTTTCTTCTCCCCTGATTCTATCTGTTTCGTCAGCTCCTCGGGCATTTTTATGATCTTGGGGTTGGTACCCGACTCATTTTCATTCGACCTCTCCACGACCAGTTCTTCCTTGAGGGTGATTTTCGGGGACTAATCGGGTTCAATTCTGCTCGGTGTGCGGCTTTGGTTCAGTAGCTGAGCTATCTTCGCCTGTTGAGCCTGTAACATTTCGAAGATCATCCATAGATTGATCTCGTCTCCTCAATTATTTTGAGTATTCTGCGTTGTCGATCGAGCTCCACCACAGATGCTATTCTCTGGGTCAATATGTAGGTTTGTATCGATAACCACATGCGAGTTAGCGTCCAACAGGTCCGCAACTGAAATTCCTACAGGATCAACGGGCGGTACCTCATTACCGGCACTATGTTGTTATTTTCACCGCAGTGACCAAACACATTGTCAACAGGTAGGGGTCCTAATTGTGAGTTTGACAATTTGAGCTTAAACCTGAAATCAGAAATACTTCAAAGAACAAGTGTAAAATAGTGTGTGTTATGGAAATTTGTATCAAATAACCACTATTATCCTTAGCCCCACAGTGGGCGCCAAACTGTTTACCCTCAAAATTGGATAACATTTGAATTTGTAAGTGGTTTTAAGGATATGTGGATTAATTTGACATAAAGTGATGAATTGAATTGTAATTAAAGCGAACAATGATAAAGTGAATTCAAAACCGTACGACTTGAACAGTTAAAGTCTTGAAAAGTAAGTCTCACTTGAACTGGATGCAATTCAAATGATATCGGATACAAAAGATTAGCTTATAGAAGGAAAATAATATTATACTGCTTTGGGATGCGTGTTACAATATCTTTTACATGTTGTCAGACCCCTTTTATGTAATAGGGGAGTCCTAGTTTAGGTACAATTCCATAAACGGTAAAAATCTCTTGATTTGCTGATTTGTCGGTTCCTTATTGATACGTGCCGAGATTCCCACCGTAATATCCAAACAGTCATTGATATTTCAGTCTCCTGTTATTTTGGTCTCTTGTTGGTTGTACGAACAATGTTTCCTCGAGCTCGTTCGGGGTCAGGGCCGGTTCCGAGTTGATGGACTCAATGTTCTTCATGACGGACATTCCGACCTCGTGTTCTGGTTCGATGGGACTCGGGGTCAGTCTTCAATCCCTTATATTCTGAGTCCGATCTGTCGTGCAGTAGACAAGTCTGATTTTGACCGCATACATTAACTAAAATTAGGTCATGGTCTTGTGGGGTGGTATTAATTTCATGTTGAATAAGTTCATGGGCATCATAGGACCCCGGAAGTCTAAGTGCATTGTTGGCAAAACCGAAAAAGTTGAAGGGGTAAATATATATATATATATACATTCTCCCTTAGTAATTTGTGATTTTCACCCCTAAATTCATTATTTTGGGATTGACGCTTTCAAAAAATTTACACTATAATCTCCTTACAAAATCATAAAAAGTTCCTTAATTTATCAATTACTAACAAGGTAAAAATAGAAAAAAACACAACAAGAAATTTCCTGAAACTTAATTCATCTGCAAGAAGATGTGAGTTACAGATCCAATTTATATAACATGTAATCACAAACACACAAATATAGTTAATCATTCAATTATTTATTTAACAAGATTGTTTCGGAGGAAAAAAATTGCCTGACATAGACATATACATGACAATAATAGATCCCTCAACAGAGGTAGAAAGAGAAACTCTCTCCCTCACCAGTCTTTAGTTTGGTTACAGCATACCTAATTAACTCCGCCGTCAATGTCCTCAAATCCAAAGAGGAAGATTGGAAGCTGCGAAAAGTTGATGCATGCACATCTGCCACTTTCAGAGGAAGATACGCTAGAATATGTGTTGAGATCACACTAGAGACACCCTTAAAGACATTTTTGCTCTTTGGAAGCCACAAACAAGATCTGGTGTATGAAGGAGATGGAATATTATGTGTAATGTGTGGGAAACTAGGACACACTGCAAATCACTGTAAAAATGGGAAGGAAATAGAGTAATTGCAACCACAGCAGCTTCCCATCAAAGCAACCATGTATCATCCGTGTTAAGCCTATTAAGATCAATAAACGAGGGAGGAAGGGTGACAAGTAGTCACTTTTCTAGAAAAGAAAAAATCTACTCATAAGGTAAGCACCAGAAACTAGAAGTAATGGACATGTTGTCAATATCTAACGGATGTATCAATGTCAACATCTTTGAGGATAACTCTGGCAGGTACTTGGACTCTCAAATTCTAAAACATAAAAAAAAAATTAAAAAAAAATCCAAGCAAAATCCCTCACATCAACCAGGTAAGTCTCCTCATGACTCTCTTTTCTTAAATTTGTATCTCGTACTAATAAAAATATTCATGACATTAATATTAATAAGGGTTTAGTAAGTTCATCAGAATAATAACCAAGTCCATAATGGTAATGATAATGTTGTCAATGGTAATTCACTATTTGGCGTTGCCTACTAAGTTTCCGAAGAAGAATTGTATGACAAGTGTCCGATTTGTGGATACCATTAAACTGCCATACAAAGATTGACTCAATCATTACTAAGAAAATCCAAGCTGAAAAGCAATACTGGCCCCGAAAATTCCGTGTGCGATTCTATCTCCTAGCCTTATCCTACCAAAGAAGATCCCAAGCAAACCAAACTCACCAATCTTTCTCTCTACCATGGAACACATAGAGAAAGAATACAAGACTACCGAACAAACAACTACTCCTAATTCAAACCCTGATCTTTTTAGTAGTAATACGCCAAACTAATCTTGCTCTGTGCAAACTGATAATATCTCTGAAAATATCTTTCTACCTCCTTCAAAGTGTAATGGACAATACCCAAATCTGTCTTCTTATAAGAATACACCTTTGGAGAGTGCAACACCCACCAACAATTCAAGCAATGAGGATTACTCGTCTTTATAAAATATTAAATCCCATCCAAATCACCAATCCATCTTACTCGACTACGGATCCTCCAAACCAACTTCCACATATACTAAGATTGCCAAGTCACTTGATGGAGCATTCCTTCTTTCCAGCCCAAAACACAGCCAACCAAATAGAGAGCCATGCAGGCTCAAGCTCTTAGAACCAAGTACTGATGGAGGCACAACAACCATAATCCGTAGGCAACTCTGCAAGTGAATCCAAATCACAATTTTTTTGTACCAAGAGCTTAGAGAGTAGGAGAATGGCACGAGGTGCGCAACTTAGGTAGGGAAGCATGTACATTGTTTGCAAGTCTAGAAGAAATTTTAATCATGTTGTTCTAAGAGAGGTAGGAAAAGAAATACTTTCTCAGTTGTCATCCCTCCTTGTTAAAAACCTCGATTGCTAGGATCACTAATGAACAAAAATGCATGGAAATACGTTGTCATTCCCAACCTATCCTTGAAGGACGATCAAAATTCACCTTTGGAGGACAAGATGAATACGAACTAACACCTCAAACAAATGATATCTGGAGCAACAAACTTTGTGATTTTAAATGTCATGGGTGCTAGGATTGATAATTTTCATAGGAATGTTAGGGCTTTGTTGGCCTCTCATAGGCCTCGCGTGGTAGCTCCTTTGGCGCACGACTAGAGGATCACCAAATTCTGAGGGATGATTTAATTTCTCAAGACTTATTTAGGTTCCTACTAGTCGATCAGGAGGGATATACAATACAGCTTGATTAGTCATATTTGGTAACTACGTGTGAACAACAAACATCTAAAGAAATGGGGGATCCTAAGTTTTTTAGCCTAAAGGATCACCCAGTTCAACATAAATAATACTTCGAAACTCCCTTGATGTAGGAGTTGCTTATATTATTCAGCGAGCACTATCATCTCCTGCTACCCGATTACTATGTTAAAGTCGTTTACCTGAAGGTGCTCTAATTCAATTCTAGGTCGTGTCTTATGCGTGCACTACCGTCCCATGCTTATGGTCCAGGAAGCTTTGGACCTACTATTACGGGGTTCTAGAATCTACTTAGGATGCTCAAGAGTGATAAAACTAGTGCACATTCAAAATATATAGGACTACACATAAATGCAAGGGAAGGCTTAAGTTAACCTCCATACACAAACATCAAATTACGTGCAGCAAAATATATAGGACTACACATAAATGCAAGGGAAGGCTTAAGTTAACCTCCATACACAAACATCAAATTACGTGCAGGCAGATTCAGCAATAGGCAGTTTTAGACGCATTAGAGTCATTAAGTCCTATAGGCATGATTTCTATGTGATTCTGAATTCCAGCAGTAATGCAACTTTAGACTAATTAATTTGCATATTAAAGGCATTGCGAGTTTTATAGGCATAATCTTCAATTGTTTGTGCAATGAGGCAGTAAAACAATCCCAAAATTTCGAATCACTAGTGATGATTTCATAGACGTGCTTCTTAGGCAGGTGACAATGTCCTATAGGCGAGATTTCTTATAGTTGACAACTGAAATTATAACTTTATACCCATACGCATATCATCTAAGTCAGTATAATTAAAGTGACGGGAGCAGCTGATTAATTAGTTAAAACCCTATGGTCATGATGTCTAGATGAGCATTAACAAAGACATGTATTTTTGTATCCAATAGGAATACTATCTAAAAGTGTTTAGTAGTAGGCATAGAACAAGTGTAGCAATTACTTGAGCAAATATATTTTGGCAAGTTAAGTGGAGCGTGTGTGTGACTCCTATAGGCGTGATTCCTATTAGTGTGCAATACACTAAACAAAATAATAAATAAGGCATCCTGAACTATAACGACCCAAACCGATGGGCCGCGACGGGTGCCCGGGTCCTACCTGTTGAACACCCCTAAGCATGCGTCTAAGATATAAACCGGAATAACACTTGCTGAATTACGAGAATAACATACATGAAGGAAACCTTCCAAAAAGGCATATGTACATATATATGTGGAATACAGTGGGTGAGCCGGCAAGGCTGCTATAGATAACTATATATCCAAAACCGAAAGCCGACAAGGCCACATACTATCTAACTATACATAACTGTCTACAGACCTCTAACAGAACGTACAACTGTACAAAGACGGGACAGGGCCACGTCATACCCATATATATATATATATATATATATATATATTTTCAAGCATATCTTACCAAAATCAAAAGCAGCTCCGGATCAAGTGGAGCACAACTCTAAATGATTAAGGATCCTAAGAAGGGGGACCGTCAGCTTGCCTACCTGCACCTGCGAGCATGAAACGCAGGCCCCAGGAATAGGGCATCAGTGGGAATAATGTACTGAGTATGTAAGGCATGAAAATCAGTACATAAAAGACATAGATGAAACACGGAATGAAGAAATTCACTCGTAAATCTGAATGACTTTGTAAATTCTGAAACATTTATAATGTCATGCACGTGCATATAAATGTCCTGCCATGCATAGGTATAGGTATAGGTGTAACATCATCGTCTCGGCCACTGTGGGCAACATCATCAACATATACCAACTGATCAGGTGGTGGTGCGTATGTAACGCCGTAATCTTTTCCCCGTATCCCATTTAAATATGATATACATATATACGCGTATATAATGCCATCTGGTCATGGATTAATCTACATTTATAAATGCATAAAATGCATAAGAAATACGTCAATAAGATTTTCTCGAAATGCCATAGAACTCATTATGTCTTTCGGATAAACTTTATCAAATACGTATTTTTCTGAGACCCATGAGCAGACGATAGAATAATAAGACTTATGGGAGAATAAGAACACACACATCTCTAGCATTTCTACGAATAGAGTAATTTATGAAAGTTGTGCATTTGCTCGTTTCGTTGTGTCGTATAGATCATGCCAAAAGAAAGAAGGGATGGCCTTAACATATCTGAGTCGATTCTCTTGACAATCCTCTAAGAGTGGAAGTTTTAATCTTCTAGAACTTGCAGTACAGGAAAAAGAAAGAGCAATGTCATTCATGGAAGTTACCATAGAGGAGAGGCATATCCACTTATCTGGTAGCCAACAAATGAAAAAATTGGAAGAGTTCAGATTATGGCGAATGACTGCCTTGGATATGGGGAAGTATATGGAAAATCCTTACTTCATAAGGATGTTTGCCCTTGCAGAGGTATGGATTAAAAGAGTTCATTAAGATAACTCAATGCTTCATTTCAAGAATAAACAAGAAATTATGCCAAACTCATTCCATGTGCATTTCGTATAAAAATAAAACATTACCGATTAGATATCATTAGTTGAGTAGGTGGATATAGGGTGTTATAACTTATAAGCAACCAAGGAACAGTACTTTTAATTTCTTTTAAAGTCTAAGAGACCAAAATCACAAAACCTTTAAGTGTTTGAATGGTGTGGCTCACGTTAGTTGCCACCTAATCTAATGTGACCATGAGTCACTTATTTGCTAGTGGCTTACTACTAAGTGGGGTGGGGTGGGATTTTTTAATCTTTATTCACTTATTAGGTAATTAGGTAATGTCCCGTTATCCGGTAATTAACCAATTACCCGCACAATTAAGAATTGTCTTAAATTACTTAAAATTCTACTCATTTAAGTACACTTTATATATCTTACTATCACGGTCATATGGTACCTTGTATGGTACTAGTCCATAAATATCGGGTATTATCGCTCGACCCGTATTTTATCCCAAATCGGCAACCTTCAACGAAACTTGTTTTCTTTAATTCGTGTACCCTTTATCCTTCATGACACTTAATTATCGCTTGTTATAAATAGCATAAATACGTTAACCTCAAGATAATATCATCCCCGAGCCTACGTCGGTTAACTGAAGACGAAACCTTAACGTACGAAACGCGAGATGTAACATCCTTCCCCCTTAGAAACATTCGTCCTCGAATGTTCAGCTCTCGGGATCTATATAAATTTGGCAGAATCGCCTTTGTAACAACACAACTACCAATTCTTCCTGTAGAAACTCAATAATTCAACGCCACATAGGATCACAATCATCAATAACGACAATGGCCTCCCATGACCGATGATAATAACCAACACAACAATCCCTACACGTACCTTAAAGTTGTGATGTCTTAGTCGGACCTTTCTCTGGAGGAGGAAATAAGTAAGGATATCGAGACTTCATGTCTTCTTCGGCCTTCCAAGTCATTTCTTCCACATTGTTGTTTCTCCAAAGTACTTTCGACGAAGCTACATCTTTAGTTCTCAACCTCCAAATCTGTCTGTCTAATATAGCAATGGGAGTTTCTTCATATGATAGCTGCTCCGTGACCTGAACGTCATCAACTAACACAATTCTGTAAGGATCTCCGATACATTTACGGAGCATAGACACATGAAAGACTGGATGTACGGATTCCAATTTCGAAGGCAAGTCCAACTCATATGCTACCTGACCTACCTTGCGTATGACCCTATATGGTCCAATGTACCGAGGGCTAAGTTTTCCCTTCCTACCAAACCTCATGACAACTTACATCGGTGATACCTTTAGGAATACACAGTCGCCAACCTAAAACTTCAAGTCTCGCCGTCGATTATCCGCATAGGACTTCTGACGGCTTTGAGCTGCTAATAGCCTTTCCTGTATAAGCTTAATTTTCTCGATTGCTTGTTGTACCAATTATGGTCCTACTAACGTAGTTTCCCCAACATCGAACCACCCTATAGGCGACCTACACTTCCGTCCGTAAAGAGCTTCGCATGGAGCCATCTGAATACTGGAATGATAGCTATTATTATATGCGAACTCAATAAGCGGCAGATGATCATCCCAGCTACCCTTGAAGTCTATCACACAAGCTCGTAACATATCCTCAAGTGTCTGAATAGTACGCTCAGCCTGTCCGTCTGTCTGGGATGAATTGATGTACTAAGAATTACCTGAGTCCCCAATCCTTATTGGAAGGACCTCTAGAAGTTAGCTATAAATTAAGCTCCTCTATCCGAGATAATAGATACAGAGACACCATGCAGTCGTACTATTTCCTTAATATAAAGCCTTGCATAATCTTCTGCGGAATATTTAGTCCTGACGGGCAGAAAATGGGCTGACTTTGTAAGCCTATCAACAGTCACCCATATCGAATCGAACTTACGCTGGGTACAAGGTAAGCCTACTATGAAATCCATATTGATTACTTCCCATTTCCAAGTCAGAATCTCCATAGCCTGCAATAATCCACCGGTTTTCTGATGCTCAATCTTAACCTGATGACAGTTAGGACACTGAGCAACAAACTCCGCTATATCATTTTTCATTCCGTCCCACCAATATACTTCCCTGATATCATGATACATCTTTGTCGCTCCTGGATGGATAGAATAACGAGAACAGTGAGTTTTCCCCATAACCTGCCGACGTAGCCCTGCAACATTAGGGACACGTAATCGTCCTCGATATCTGAGGACCCCATCTTTTGTAATTTCGAATGGTGTCTTCTCCTTCTGAGGGCTGGTATCCCTATAATGAACTAACACAAGATCCTCGTACTGGCGTTCCTTTACTTCAGTTACTAAAGAGGATGTTGTCGTATCCTGAATAGTAATTCCAATATCACCTGAGTCCAGTAATCGAAATCCAAGACTAGCTAGCTGATGAACCTCATGGGCTATTCCCCTCTTCTCTAGATGTAAATATGATAGGCTACCCATATATCTACGGCTGAGGGCGTCGGCTACTACGTTTGCCTTCCCCGGATGGTATAAAATATCAACATCATAGTCTTTAAGTAGCTCCAACCATCTCCTTTGATGTAAACTCAATTTCTTTTGCTTGAAGTTATACTGGAGGCTCTTATGATCCGTATAGATATCAACATGAATGACATACAAGTAATGCCTCCACATCTTTAGTGCATGAATCACCGCGGCTAACTCTAAATCATGGGTCAGGTAGTTCTTCTTGTGCTTTCTTAGTTGTCTAGAATCATAAGCTACAACCTTACCATGCTGCATCAACACGCAACCCAATCCAACGCCTGAAGCGTCACAATAGATAACATAACCTTTGGTCCCTTCTGGGAGCGTTAGAACCGGTGTTGAAGTTAATCTGTCCTTCAATGCCTGGAAACTTCGTTCGCAAGCGTCAGTCCATTGAAACTTTGCTCCCTTCTGAGTCAACTTATTTAAAGGTGCTGAAAGGGAAGAAAATCCCTCTACAAATTTCCTGTAATAGCCTTCCAAATCGAGAAAGCTACAAACCTCCGTCGGTGTTGTGGGTCTAGGACAAGTCTTTACTGCCTCAATCTTTTGTGTATCCACCCGGATGCCTTCACCCGAAATGATATGCCCAAGGAAAGCTACAGAGTTCAAACAGAGCATACATTTAGAGAATTTTGCATACAACTTCCCTTTTTGTATAACACTGAGCATAGTACGCAAATGATCTGCATGCAGCCTCTGAACGAGAATACACCAATATATCGTCGATAAATACAATATCTAAAAAAGGCCTGAACACACGGTTCATCAAATCCATGAATACTGCTGGGGCATTGGTCAAACCGAACGACATAACACGAAACTCAAAGTGCACGTATCTGGTCCTGAATGCTGTCTTCGGAATATCTTCCTCCTTAACCTTTACCTGATGGTACCCGGACCGCAAGTCTATCTTTGAAAAACACCTGGCACCTTGCAACTGATCAAATAAATCATCAATCCTCGGGAGCGGGTACTTATTCTTGATCGTCGCTTTATTCAATTGTCTATAATCAATACACATCCGTAAGGAACCATCTTTCTTCCTCACAAATAACACATGTGCTCCCCATGGTAATGTACTAGGTCTGATAAAGCCTTTTTCAAGCAAGTCCTTTAGTTGTTCCTTCAACTCTTTCAGCTCTGCGGGGTCCATTCTCTAGAGAGGAATAGATATTAGATGAGTATCTGGTAGTTGGTCAATAGCAAACTCAATTTCCCGCTCTGGCGGAAGTCTTGGAAGCTCATCGGGAAAAACTCGGGAAACTCATTAACCACAGGGATGGACTGAATGGTTAGTGACTCTACTTTCACATCCTGAACACGAAGTAAGTGATAAATACAACCCTTTCTGATCATCTTCCTTGCCTTGAAAAAGGATAAAAATCTACCTCCCGGCGATACTGTATTACCTTTCCACTCAAAAACAGGCTCCCCTGGAAATCAAAATCGGACTATCTTTGATCTACAATCAACGTTGGCATGACAAGAAGCCAACCAATCCATACCCATTATAGCATCAAATTCTACCATATCTAACTCGATTAGATCCGCTATTGTAGATCGACTATGAACTACTATTATATAACCCCTACATACTCGCTTAGCTATCAATGATTCCCCAACATGTGTAGACACATCAAAACATTTAACCAATTCAGGTTTTATTCCAAACTTACTAGAAACCAACAGAGTAACATATGACAAGGTGGAACATGGGTCAATCAGTGCATATACATCATATGTGGAGACTGATAATATACCTGTAACAACATCAGGCGATGACTCCTGATCCTACCGTCCCGCCAATGCATAAGTGCGGTTCTGAGGACCTCTTGAGCTAGATGCTCCGCCTCTGCCTCTACCATGACTCATTGGTGCTTGTGAACCTTGCTTAGGGGGGCCTACTGATGATGACGAACCAGCTACAGATCCCGCTGGTTGAGCTATGCTTGTATCACCTCTCGCCGGACAATCCCTCATAACGTGGCCCAGATAAACACAAGTATAACAAACACCCAATCCCATACGGCACTGCCTGTCATGCTGCTTACCACACTGAGCACATCGTGGAAAAGGCGGACTCATCTGACTTGACTCACCCTTATAAGAACCTGAGGCCTTGGAATTCTGACCGGGCCCTGAATATGGGGAACGATCAAATCTCTTACCGCCAAACTGGGGGGTGTGCTAGCCGATGGGTGGGCTGGATACCTCTGGTACTATTGCCTCTGACAACCTCGAAACTCTCCAGAAGGACCCGAAGACCTTGCTCTCTTATTCTGGGCCCTATCATGCTCACGATCGGCCCTCTATTTCTGCTTACGCTCCTCTACACCCTCAGTGTATGCCTGAATACGAGAAATATCCATGTCTGGCTGAAGTGAGACCGACATACAATTGTTAAGCAAGTGCGGTTCTAACCCCATCACGTACCGGTGATCCCGATCCTCCATCTTAGATACAATAGTGGGAGCATACCTAGACAACGAATCAAACTGAAGACTGTACTCCCAAACACTCATATTACCCTGCCGAAGGGTCAAGAACCTATCAACTCTAGCCCGTCTAAGATCTGGTGGCAGATGATGACGAAGAAAAGCTTCTGTAAACTCCTACCATACTACTGGAGGGGCGTTCTCACCTCTGGACAACTCCCAAGACTCGTACCAATTAACTCCAACATCCTGAAGTCTATAGGAAGCTAGCACAACTGACTCAATCGTAGTGGCATTTATCACCCTCAATGTCCTCTGCATTCTATCAATAAACACCTGAGGGTCTTCGTTTGGATCTACCCCAGTGAATACCGGAGGGTCCAAATTAATGAAATCACGAACCCTCGCACTAACGGACCTATCTGCATGACCAATACCTACTTCCTGACGCCGAGCCTGCGCGGCTACTAATCGGGTTATTAGCTGAATAACATATCTCATCTCCTGAACCGGTGTATCTGGCTGAGGGGCTGAACGTACAGGGGCGGGCGCTGGAGCTGGTTCCCCTCAGAACTCTTCTGGAAAGGGTGGGTTATGTGAAGTCTAAGATGGAATCTCACTATGAGATTCTCCCCGAGCCCTGATAACTTATGGTGCTCGACTAGTAGTCTCACCAGCCACGGACTTCCCCTTCTAGGCGGTTGTAGTCTTCGGAGTAACCGCTAAACACGTAACATATTGCTAGGAACATGAATTCTTATATCGCACGATCTAAGATAAAAAGAGAGGATAACATCCTATAAGTCCTGTAGCCTCATGTCTATAAGTGTGGTGCACAACACATCCATAAACAAGACTCTACTAGACACGATATGTAGACAACCCTAAGACAGAACTGCTCTGATACTACTTTTGTCACGACCCAAATCGATGGGCCGCGACGGGTGCCCGAGTCCTACCTGTCGAAAATCCCTAAGCATGCATCTAAGATATAAACCTGAATAACACCTGTTGAATTACGAGAATAACATACATGAAGGAAACCTGCCAAAAAGGCATATATACATATACATGCGGAATACAGTGGGTGAGCCGGCAAGGCTGCTATAGACAACTATATATCCAAAACTGAAGGCCGACAAGGCCACATACTATCCAACTATACATAACTGTCTACAAACCTCTAACAGAATACAACTGTACAAAGACGGGACTGAGCCACGTCATACCCATACATATATATACAAGCATATCGTACCTAAATCAAAAGTAGCTCCGGATCAAGTGGAGCACAACTCTCGCTGATCAAGGATCCTATGAAGGGGGACCCTCAGCTTGCCTACCTGCACCTGCGGGCATGAAACGCAGACCCCGGGAATATGGCATCAGTACGGATAATGTACTGAGTATGTAAGGCATGAACATCAGTACATAAAAGACATAGATGAAACATGGAATGAAGAAATTCATCCGTAAGTCTGAATGACTTTTTAAATTGTGAAAGATTTACAATGTGATACACGTGCATATAAATGTCGTGCCATGCATATGTATAGGTGTACATAACATCATCAAACCTCTGAGGGTATCCCATCATATCGTCTCGGCCACTGTGGGTAACATCATCAACATATACCAACTGATCAGGTGGTGGTGCGTATATAACGCTGTAACCTTTTTCCCATATCCCATATAAATAAGATATACATATATATGCGTATATAACGCCATCTGGTCATGGGTCAATGTACATGTATAAATGCATGAAATGCATAAGAAATACGTTAGTAAGATTTTCTCGGAATGCCATAAAACTCATTATGCCTTTCGGATAAACTTTATCAAATATGTATTTTGCTGAGACCCATGAACAGACGATAGAATAATAAGACTTATGTGAGAATAAGAATATACACATCTCTATCATTTCTACGAATAGAGTAATTTATGAAAGTTGTGCATTTGCTCGTTTCGTTGTGTTGTATAGATCTTGCCAAAAAAAAAAGAATGAATGGCCTTAACATATCTGAGTCGATTCTGTTGACAATCCTCTAAGAGTGGAACTTTTAATCTTCTAGAACTTGCAGTACAGGAAAAAGAAAGAGCAATGTCATTCATGGAAGTTACCATAAAGGAGAGGCATATCCACTTATCTGGTAGCCAACAAATGAAAAAATTGGAAGAGTTTAGATTATGGGGAATGACTGCCTTACTTAGATATGGGGTAGTATATGGAAAATCCTTACTTCATAAGGATGTTTGCCTTGCAGAGGTATGGATTAAAAGAGTTCATTAAGAGAACTCCATGCTTCATTTCAAGAATAAATAAGAAATTATGCCAAACTCGTTCCATGTGCATTTCATATAAAAATAAAACATTACCAACTAGATATGATTAGTTGAGTAGGTGGACATAGGGTTTTATAACTTATAAGCAACCAAGGAACAGTACTTTTAATTTCTTTTAAAGTCTAAGAGACCAAAATAACTAAACCTTTAAGTGTTTGAATGGTGTGGCTCACGTTAGTTGCCACCTAATCTAATGTGACCATGAGTCACTTATTTGCTAGTGGCTTGCTGCCACGTGGGGCGGGGTGGGGTTTTTGTAATCTTTATCCACTTATTAGGTAATGTCCCGTACCCGGTAATTAACCAATTACCCCCACAATTAAGAATTGTCTTAAATTACTAAAAATTTTACTCATTTTAAATACACTTTTTACATTTTACTATCACGGTCATATGGTACCTTGTATGGTACTTGTCCATAAATATCGGGTATTATCGCTCGACCCGTATTTTATCCCAAATCGGCAACCTTCGACGAAACTTGTTTTCTTTAATTCGTGTACACTTTATCCTTCATGACACTTAATTATCGCTTGTTATAAAAAGCATAAATACGTTAACCTCAAGATAATCTCGTCCTCGAGCCTACGTCGGTTAACTTAAGACGAAACCTTAACGTACGAAACGCGAGATGTAACATGAACGAAATAGCAAATAGAACACATAGACACTGTAGACATATTTTCTACCCTTTGATGCAAGCATTAGAATACCCCAGTTCCCTTTTCATTATTACAGACCATATTATATGATTAGAAGCCCAAATACGAACATAGAACAACCTAGTAATACATCTAGGCCTTCAAAAAATCTTGGAACTTCATTAGGACCGCAGGCTCAAACTCTAGGTGCATGCAGTTTTCTTCAGACCTCCAGTACAACAGCAGGCCCAACGTACCAGGCCCAGGCAAGTAATTTCTTACCCAAATGGATGCCAAACATGGCTATACAGGTGACAAACTACACAAAGAGTTAATTGAACAACACTGAAGGTTAAAACACTCAGTCTTCAGGACATACAAAGCATATATGAGGTTTTAACTCCAGAAACAGAGTTTATGAGCAAAAGGGTTATTTCAAATAAAGTTCCAGAACAAAGCATGATCCAAAACCATCCTAAGGACCTTTAAGCATGGGTTTGAACATGGAACTCTAGCATTGCCCTAGACAAGATCAGTAAGGTGCAGACTTAACATGGAATTTTCAATATAAGAGCCTAATGAGAACAACTAATTTGCAGAGCTTAACATATGGAATGGTCAAGCAAACTCCATTTATCAATAAGAGAGCATTCAAGATGGGGAGAGGCTGATTTTGAAGTAAATAAAGTAAGCAGGTATCATGTGAAGAGGAGCAAACAAGACATGGATTGAAAATCACCCTAGGAGTCTCAAAAAATTAGTGAGCACAAAATATCAAAGTAAAGAACAAGTCTATCTTAGTATTGCAATAGTACTGGCATATATAATTCAGATGATCACAACTTGGTTTCAGGGAATAGCATGTATACATAGAAGATTTGGCATAGACATATTTTGATAGGTTCTAGGCATGCATTTATTTTCTATGAGATCTTAAGTCATGGTTCATGATAAACATCAGCCTTGAGTAGTCAATTAAGCTTAAAAGTGAAGACAAGCATTTAGTCAACTTGGTTATCTACAATAGGCAAGTATTGAGGAATGTCATGGAAAAGCCTACTAGAATAAGTACTTATACAATGCCATCACATAGTTTACAAAAAAAAAATAGAAGGTGATGCGTAAGGGATTCAACAAGAAGAAAACAATTCTGGGCGGACATCATTTTCTAGAAATCCAAACAAAATATGATAAATATTAATTAGGTTTAATAGAAAACCAAGTAATCATCATGTATCACTTATAAAAAAGTCCGATTAGAGCAGGCTTGAAGTGGCATGACATTAAACACCCAAAAAATGCACAAGCAGAGAGTAATGAGATTACGAGAGTATAAGGTACTAACCAGTTCCTAACAAACTAAACAAAGGATGAAGAACTCAAAGATCTCAAGAATAGCTGTGATTATTTGAGAATACTGAAACTCCAATCCCTCAGTGCCTCAGAGTTCACATGAGCCTCAAAATAGACCCCGAGTAGTGCTTGCACTGGAGGAAGGTGAACAGAATCCGATGGCCTTGGCTTTCAGCTGGCCAAAGATCAAAACTCAGAATTGTATAAAATGAACGAGAATGGGAGAATAGTGGTAGTAGTAGTTAAGTAATTAATACATAAGCCTTGTTTAGGGGAAGGGGGAAGGGGTTTATATAGCAATCGATTTAAACAGACAAATGTGGAAAATTATCAATTTAAACATAAGAAGGAAAGAAAGGATCTCATGTAGTCAGAATCGGTAATCGAGATGGAGATATAAAACCCTAGTTAGGTTCAAACAACTGTAAATCAAACTAGGAGTGCAAGAATTGCCTCCTGTCAGGTGTATATAGACAAAATACCATCTGAAACGACGAAGATCAAAGTCCATCAAGCCTGATTTTGAAAGGTATCTCTTGCCAATAATAGGGCAAGAACTAAGTAATACCAAAACGTATGCACAATAGCGAAGTACGACAAAATAGGTAATTTAATCAATGATTGATTCCATTTTATGGCCGGATTTGGTGAAGTTTTAGAGATACGGCGGCCAGGAGTTCTCAGAGAAGAAGAGAGAGTAGAGAGGATTTAGGGGCAGAGGCTTTCGTAGAATAGGTCTTTAGGATTTGGATTTGGTTGATTAAATATGAGAGGTGGTATGTGGTCCGTTGATCTCTAAGATCAACGGCTGAGATGAAAGAAAGAGTGGGGCGGGTAGCTTCAGAGGCGTACCGATCGGGTTCATTAAAAGGGGTCGTCTGGTTTGGGCTTGGGGTCATTAGGCTAGGTTTTGGGTAGATTAGGGTGTGGGCTGGTGGACTAGGTCCGAAATTTGGCCTGTTTTGGGCAGATTTTAAAAATAAAAGAAATTATGGGAAAAACAATTTAGTAAAATAGCTAAATCAATATAAAGATACGATTTACGAGACTTAGTAATTTTGAAATAATAATTGAAGATTATAGTATATGTAAAAGTTATTTTGACCCTGAGTAAAATGATAAATGCAATTAATCATAAAATACGGACTATTAATACAA